AATAAGCAAAAAGAAAATATGGTCATAGAGCTAATAGAACTAAAGGAAATACCAGGTGGAACAAAGAGCTAATGCAGTAAAGATGTATAAACCATAAAAAGGAGACAAATAGAAAATATGCAGCCAGGCACAGCAGCTTATGCCTGAAATCCAAGCACTCAGGGAGGCCGAGGTGGGTGGATTGTTTGAGCTCAGGAGTTCAAGACCAGGCGGAGCAAGAATGAGACCCTGTCTCTACCCAAAATAGAAAAACTGGCCAGGTGTGGTGGCACATGCCTGAGTCCCAGCCACTCAGGAGGCTGAGGCAGGAGGATTGCTTGAGCCCAAGAGTTTGAGGTTACTGTGAGCTGTGATGACACCAGGGCACTCTACCCAGGGCAACAGAGTGAGACTGTCTCAAAAAAAAGAAGGAGAGAAGGAAGAGAGGGAAGGAATTAAAATATGCAGGTCGGAATTCAATAGCTGAAAATAATTCACTGAAGGGGTCAATGTCAGAGAACTTGAAGATAAGGCAATTGAAATCATCTACTATAAAGAGCAGAAAGAAAAAAGGGTGAAGAAAAACAGAATGACCTGTGGGCCCTGTGAGACACCACCAGGCACACCCACATGCCTGTCCTGGGATTCCCAAAAGGCAAAGAAAGGGAAAACACAGAAAAAAGATTTGAAGGAATAATATCCCAAGTGCCCCACATGTTTTAAATTTTTATTATTATTCAATAATAATACTGTTTAATTCTTTTCTACCACTTAATTCACTGTCTTGGCAGGAGCCTGCATTTTTAATTGTTGGTCCCAGTGGTCTGTGTTCACCCCCTACCTCCTTCATGTCTTTACCTAGACGTCACCCCGTGAGACTACCCTACCCCTTTGTTCTGCTCTGTTTTTTCTTTCTGAATAGCCCTTCTTCTGTCCTTAGTGGTTTTCCCACCTTTTGTGTTTATCTCTCTCTTCCCTTCTCTTGGGCAGGGATCTATGTCTGTTTGGTCCACTGAGGGAGTGAGCAGATGTGAGCCTTGGCAGAGATGGATGTCTGCCTGATGGCTCAAGCTTGCCATATGCAGACACCAGCTCACACCTTCCCCAAACCGGCTCTCCTGTGTCCCTGACGGCGGCTGACACCCCATGGCCATGGTCTCACCTTCCGCACTCCTCTCCACCTGCTGTCCACCCACCTCCCCACCTGGGATGCCTCCTGCTGCCCCTCCAGCATTCCAGGTGCTGCCGGAACCAGGCTGTGTGAAGGACCCGCCTTGGCAGCCTTTGTCCAAGTCACCTCAGCTGAGGCGCCCACTGCCCCACATTCTTCACACCCAAACTGCACACAGCTTCCACCTCCCTGTGGTCAATTTGGTGCTCACCATTGCCTTTGTTGCCTGTTTGCTGTTTGTCTCCCCCACAAAGGTCAGCTCCAGGCCCCATGGTCCCTTGTCTGCCTAGACCTGTCCTGGTTTTAGTGCTGAGAATCCTGACCTGAGAAACGCTCAGAGACTTGGAGCCTCAGCTGCAGGGCCCTGGGGTCTTTGCCAGTGCTGTTCTTTCTAGGAGCTGGGCTGATGCCCAGGGGCCCAGCGGGTGAATGGAGACACACAGACATCCATGGACTTACCCGGTCAAACTGCAGGTGCAGATGTGAACCAGGCTGCCTGCCCTGGTACAGGTTACTCTACCAACACACCTCCATTAGTCCACCCACCCCACCCACCCCCACACTCTGGGCCTACACTCCTCACCCTGTTCTACTGGGTGCTGTGGTCTGGGAAGGGGGCATGGTTTCTGTAGAGTTGGTGGAGGGGAGGACTGGGTCAGGAGCCAAGACAGGGGCCACTAGGCTGTGGGGCCTGGGTGTAGCCCAGGATCCTGACCTGGAGGTAGAGTGGTGACGGGTCTCAGAACTGGCACTGAGGGCAACCACCCCTTGGTGGCAGCGCACTTCTGTCCTCGAGCCAGCAACTCCCTCCTCTGTGCAGGACAGTGGGGCAGAGAGGGTCTGAGTATAGCCTCTGTTTGGGCCTCGATTTCCCCCCTCTGTAGGATGGCCAGGGTTATGGTAAAGTCTTCAGGAGGCCACACCTGGGGAGGTGGGAGCTCAGCCAGAGACCCTCCAGCAGGTCATCCCCACCCCACTTCTAGGTCTGCAGGGATTCCCAGAACAGCCCTGGGACAGGGCAGGGGTCCGTGCATTGCCAGGGTTGCCCCCGGCTGCCCCAGGGGTCAGGAGCAGGAACTGACTTGCTCAGCTGAGCCAAGCCCCTTGCCTCCCACCCATGATGGGTACCTGGGGCAGACTCTCCATGCTCCCCTCAGGCCTCCCTGCCTGCACACCCTGGGAGCCCTTTCTGCTGCTCTGTATGGGCACACTTGCTCAGGATGTCTGCTCACACCCAATGACACTGACCCAGCTGATGCAAAGTCTGATTCAAGTACACTGGCCTCCCATACCTGAGTCCCAAGGCTCCTGCCCCAGAGCAGGCTCAGACCCCCACCCACAGCACTACACTCACGCCTGTGTGCACACGCATCAGGGGTGTTGGCACCCCCAAACTTCAGGACTGTTCTCAGGTCCAGCCTGGCAGGGGGCAGGCTCTGCCACGTCCACTGCTCAGCTTCATCCCTGGAGGCTATCATCGCCTAGTCCTGGCCCTGCCCACCTTAAGAGGTAACCCTGGGTGCAGTGATACTGTCCCCACCAGCCCCAAGATGGAAATCTCTGACCTCAAGGGAAGAGGCAGTGGTGTTTACTTAATGGAGGCACATGTGACCCTGCACCCCCAGTCTCCCAGGGCAGCAGACACCATTGCAGGAGGGAAAAGGCCCAGTGCCCTCTGGGAGGGCAGAGCCGCAGGCATCTCTGCTAGTGCTCAGGTGGCAAAGTAAGGGCTTAGCGTCCCTCTGTGGTCCTTTAGCATGGATAGCCTCAGTGGGCCTCAGTGGCTCTCATGAGTAATAAATTTCAGAGGACCGCACATCCAAGCAGAAGGCCCAGGCAGGTGGCCCTGGGACCATAGGAGCTGCTGGGGCCTGGGGAGGCATATGCTCTGGCCTGACCCCTGGGAAGGGGTCCAGGTGAGGTGGGTGCCACAGGTGGTACTCAGTGCCTGAGGTCCTCAGGAGAGTCCTCGAAGGGATGGTGAAGGGACAGGTAGACTCCAGCCAACATGTGAGTGCTCTGGGCAGAAGCTGGAGTGGTCCTGGCTGTCTCAGTCTGTTCTGCTACAGAAAGGTGGGGTCACACCCTGCACCCCAGAGCTCAGGGGAAGCAGAATTCAGGACCATAACTGGTGGCTGTGACCATGAGTTATCTGGAGAGAGGCCAGGACCCAGCTGAGGCAGGGCAGAGAAGGGCAGAGCAGGCTCTGGAGACTGGGGAGGGCCAGCCCTTCACATTCTGCTCATCCTCAGATTCAGGGAAGGGCTGCCGTGTTCGTGGGTGGGGGTTTGACCCTGGCCTCAGCCATCAGGTGGAGTCCTGCCCCCGCTGGCAGTGTGGTCAGCACCTACTTGTTCTTGAGATGTCCTCAGGCCACTGTCCCAGGCAGCAGCTGAAGAGAGGGGCTGCTGCACAGGCTGCCCCCTACAAACTGGCCTGGGACATACCTTCCTCCAGCCCTGCCCACTGGATGGGGGACTTCGGTAATGTTGAGAACAGAAGAGGATGCTGTGGCCCCACTCAGGCTGCCCAGGCCTGAACAGTCAGTGCCCCAGGAAGCAGGCATGCCCTCATATCCCCCACTTGGGTGGGGCCTAGCCCGTTGACCCTCTGACCCTGACACTTGCCAGCATGGCACTGGGGCTCTGGTGTTGGCTGGGGTCAGCCTCCAGGGTCAAGTGACCAGCAGGTGACCTCTGATCCAGGCACCAGGCCCTGGGGTGGCCACCACCCCTTTGGCCTGAGATCTGCTGGAGGTGACCTTTGCTGGAGAGTGGGATCCAGACTTGGCTAAAAGCCTTGCTGGAGGAGGGGAGACACCAGTCTATGGTCCCTCCACAGGCCCCAGGAGGTCCTTGTAGGTGGCAGGGTGCAGGCTGCAGGCTGCCCTGCAACTGCTGTGGCTCAGCAGAGCTGGGCAGGCCTGGCATCCTGGCCTGGCCCCAGGTGCCTGAATGAGGGCCACATCTGCCCCTTCTACCTCTCCTGCCTCTGTAGCTCCTGCAACCCACCCTCCACCCAAAGCCAGGTGAGCTTTTGGGCTTGCAGGTGGGGTGCCAGCTCTAATCCCTCCTGAACTGGGAGCCACATCCAGGACACACGTGATTAGCTCCGTCCACTGGTTAAGAGTCCTCCCCTGGTGAGCCCTGGGTCCCAGAAGCCTGGGCTCAGTGGCTGGGTGAGTGGAAGGACAGTCCAAAAAACTGGGCATAACCAGAGCCCTAGCCAGGGAAGGTGGACACCCAGGGAGGAAGTGGCCAGGGAGGGGTACCTGGGACCCGGGTGTGTGGCCCATGGGGATATAAGCCTGGAATGACTCTGGGGCAGGGTGGCCCCTCTGCCCTCCTTCCCCCATAGCCCTAGGTGCCCAGCACTCACAGCATGGGAGGTCACACAACTGCTGTGGGATGGAGACACGTACATCAGCCCTCCAGCCCTGCAGGCACAGGCAGCATGAGAAGCCTGAGAGACTGGGGAGTAGGGGCTTCCCTGTGGGCCTGTGGGGGTGGGGTATGAGGATCGAGGGGAGGGTAGCACCACCCACCTGGATACAGATGCCTGGGGCACAGGCCTCTTCCCAGGGAATGTCCAGGAAGGCGACTGCAGAGTCTGCCCTGGGGTCACCTTGGATCTAGGAAGGCAGGTCACAGGCAATGGGGGCTGGGTGACCAGGCCACCCCATATTCTTTTCCCCAAACCTTTTGCAACTGAACCTGAAAAGCAGGGTTGGCCCTCCATCCTTGCCCGCCAGGTGGGCTAGACCCCACCTAGACTCCAGACAGGCCCAATGACACTGAGCATTTCGGGGAAGTGAAGGGTCCTGCCCATGCCCAGGATGGTGTCCTCCAGCTCACTGAGGCTGCAGGAAGGGGTCTGGCCTGGAGTGCTGGTTGGCAGGCAAGAAGCTGTGACTTCCCTCGGAGACACAGGCGTGCCTGGAAGTGAGCAGGGCTGGACGAGAAGAAGGCAGCCTGGAGGAGGCCCCGATTGGGTACTGGCTGAATGGTCATCTTCCAGGCTGCAGGGGTGGAGAAGTGAGGTCCTCACCAGGCCTAGCACCCTACCTGCTTTCCTTCCTGCCCACAGTGGGCCTGACACCCACCTACTTCACCTCCCTGCTCCCTCTGGGCCTTCACTGGCCCAGGACCCTGTTGTCCTGTGATTCTGGCCAACACTGAGCAGAGCAAAAGGTGAGTATTTGCTGCACCCACCGCTCCTGCCCCAGGCCAGGCACCTCTGTCCTTCAGGAGAGCTCACCTGGGAAGCCACGTTGTTGGAAAGGGCACCTCACCCGGGACCCCAGGTTGGTGGAGAACTGCAAAGAGGAGTAAGGGGTGCAGGTGTGGGAATGGGGGACCGGGGCTGGGATGAGCTGGGTGGACTTCAAGGCTCCTACATGGCTTCCCTCCCTGGTCTTTCCCCACTGTCAGACTAAGACAGGGGTCAGAGGGACATCTAGAAGGCTGGACTCCAGGGCTGGGAAAGGCCCCAGCCTCCCCCTGCCCTGATCCCCAGCCCCTGCCTGCCTCCTTGCCCCTCTCCCAGTGTGGGCAGAGCACCTGACTAGCTGCACTGGACGGCTCACCTTTAGGCAAAGCTGGGGCTGGGTGTCCACCAGCGGGTACTGCACCTGAGGAGAGTTCAGGTCAAGGCCGTGGCCATCCACCTCCAACCCCCACTCCTGCTGGGGCACTCACTATGCCCTGTGCTGGGCGACTGGAGTACTGCAGGTCTTGGCAGGGGCCGCTGGGGCCCAGGCGCCAGCATAGGCTCACTTGGCCGCTAACAGGGCAGGCGGGCTCCCAACTCAGTGCCTGGCTTCCTGGGTGGTAGCGGATGGCATCCCATAGCACTTCTGTGTCTGCAAGGACCCTTCCCACAAACACAGGTCAGTTGGGCCGTCCCCTGGCTGCTGAGGGTCCACAGGGCCTAGCACCCACTCTGGTCCTAGGGCCAGAGGTCAGGAGCAGTTAGCTCTTCTGTGGGTCTCTGAACCCTGGCCCAAGTCTCTGAACATGTGTCCCTGAGCAGAGCCAAGAGTAGGGTATCCCTACGCCTCTGTGGAGCCCCTCTTCACAGACTTGACTTTTTCATGTGAGCCCAGCTACCACCTGTGTGTGCGCACAGTGCAGGTGTGCACACAAACAGTGCACACCCACTTCCGTGCACAGGCTTTGGGGCACATCTCTGGGACGAGCTCTGCAGTGCAGACTTAGGCTGACCTGCCCCCAGCCCGTCCCCCCAGGCGTCAGGCTGTCCCACCCCACTCTCTCCTTCATCCCATCGGGCACCATAAGGCACTTGCCGTCTTCAAAAGGGCAGACCTGGACCCTCACTGCATCAGGAGCAGCAGCCCAGCCCTGCTGGAAGGGCGAGAGTCAGCTCGGCTGCCCAGCCCCTTATGCCCCTAATCAAGGCCACACCTTCACTGACCTCTAGGCACAGGCAGGGCAGCACCTGGCTGTAAGGCAGAGAAACTGTCCTCGAGGAGCTGTTGGCAGTCACCTGTCACAGAGAAGGGGCTGAGGGATGGGGACCAGGGCCAGCAGTGCGGTGACTGGGCCTTTTGGAGGGAACAGGGGGCAAGGGGCCAAGGGCTAGGGGGAGGTGGGGGTGAGCTGGGAGGCATGGGGCACCTGGGACTGCTATAGGGACAGGAGTTGGGGTGGGAGCCAAAGGGAGGGGTGGGCTGAAGGAGGTGGTGGTGGGGTCCCGGTGCCAGGGGCACAGGGCTCACCAGCACAGGTGCGCCGGCGTCCTCACAGGTGAACCACCTGAGGCAGAGCCGCACGTAGTAGTCAAGCCTCCTGAAGGTCGCAGGCACCTGCGCCAGGATGGCCTTGTGCCTGCGGTCTACCCAGTAGTGGAGCTTCCCTGCTGCAGGAGGGGGCAAGTGGGGGACACACAGGGACCAGCCATTGCCAACAAGGGCTCCATCTATCCTGAGAGCCCTGACGTGGTGACCACTACTTGGTTCAGGTGGTTGAGAGTCGCCTACCTGAGGACCCATCAGGATTCCCCAAGGGTGGTTGAAGCGGGGGAGAAGGGGAGGAGGAGCTTGGGGGTATTCCAGGGGAGAGCTGTGGTCTACGCAGGAGGGAGACTCACCAAAGCAGTCAGGCACACTCCTCCCCACGTCCTCCTCTCTGCAGTCTGCAAATGCCAGGGGCAACGGTCACTGGTCACTCAGTTTGGGCCTGGCCACTATGTTTCCGGGAGCTATCCCTCCAGTGGGGCCTCTGCCCATGTCTCCATTAAGCCAAAAGCTCTTGCTGGGAGCTGTCTAGCGTGGGCACCTGACCCCTATCATGTTTGAGTCTGCCTCAAGACAGTCCATCCCTAAGGTCCAGAAAGCAGCTGTGCCCAAGCTGGATGTGGGAACCCCACCTTCCACAAGGTACTGCTGATCAAGCTGGACCCCGCAGAAGTGGGGGATAGTCCTCAGGGTGACGTGGAGGTGCTGGGCCACGCTCACCTGGAAGCAGTTGAAGTGTACCTGGAGCTGGACAGTGCAGGTATGAGCTGGGTGGACCCAAAGGCCACTGCCCAGTGCCCTGGCCAGTTCTGCCTTCATGGCTGAAGCCCAGGGCCTGGGGGGCAGGAGGAGGGGTGCCCAGTGCTCAGGACTTGGGTGGCAAAGCTCTGGATGGGCCAGCAGGTCTGGGTCTTGGTTGGACTCTGGCCTCACCTGCTGCCTCGCCTGCAGCTGGCGGGAGACCCTAGGGACGCGCACACTCTGGCACTGTGTCTCCTGGGTGTAGAGGCTTGTGGAACAGGCCTCTAGGCCACGCAGGCGCTCTGGGGAGGGAGGCCCGGAAGGCACATCAGAGCTGTGTAACCCTCTGCCCTCAGCCTCCTCTCTGTGAAGCATGGTCAGCAGCATGTCCCCCACATCCAAGAGTTGGCTGAGATTGAAGAGCCCAGCGCCTACCACCAGGTCTCCTGGTGTTGCAACACAGACCAGTCCAGTCTGGTCTGGCCACCCCCAAGGCCATCGCTCACCATGCAGGGTCAGGGAGGCTTGAACACGCAGGAGTAGGGCACAGCCATCATGGGGGGTACACTTCAGCACAGTGGAGAGGGTCAGGGTCTCCAGGAGTAATCTGGACATAGATGTGGGGGGCGGCCGGCAGAAGCTGTTAAAAACGTCACCTAGGATGGAGAAAGGTAAGGACTTAGGGCTTCCGATGCTGGGAAGGGCTTATGGGTGCTCTAGTGACAGAGCTGCACAGTTTGGGGAGGGGTCCTCACTGTCTGGCCCCAACACAATTGGGAAACCAGCCCCCTGGCCTAGGGGCCCACCCCAAACCCCTGGAAGTGTCTGTAGGACCCCAGGTATGGGGACCAGGTTGGGAGAGCAGGCTGCCCACCATTCTGCATCTGAGCCGGGGAAGGTGCTGCCTCACCTGGCCAGCAAGATGGGCAAAGGAGCCCACCTCCATCTCACTGGCAAGTCCCATCACCACTGTTCAAAGATGAGCAACATGGGCCTATGGAGGACAACTTATACATGACCCTGAGGTCATTGCAGCCTAGGGCTCTGTCCATAGACAAGAGGTTACATCCTCATAGACAGGACTTGCCCTGGAGGCCTCGGTCAGGGCATGGGCTACCAGGGCCAGAGCAAAGGCCATGGGGGGCAGACTGGCCTGACACAGGCAAGCTGGAGTGGAGTCCCACTCTGGGCGCTGGGGGCTAAGCAATATCTGCTGCTTTTGGTCAGTTAGGCTTGCAAGTGGGACTCAGAGTGGAGGGCCACATAAGCTGCAGAGCCCTGACAACCCAGCCCTTCCACAGAAGGAAGACTGCCACCAAGGCATGGGAACCACATGCAGTAGGTTACTCAGGGGAGCCTGCACTTAAGACGGGGCACCTGATGTCAGAAACAGGCTCAAAGGCATGACGGTGATTAAGAGTCTGAATGTGCTTATGGGGGAAAAAATATAACTCCTGATGATCCCCACTGTGGCCAGGATAGTCACAGGGGTCAGATTTATCCTCCTGTCCAAAACACCCAGGGAGACTGAGACAAAATATATAGTTTCCAGACAGTAGACAGGAGGAAACAAAAGACAGTGATTCCTGAGAAACAGGAGACATACAAGGTGGTCCCCGTGAGTGCAGCAAGCAGTAGCAGGGGGAACCCCAGGTCCAGCCTGGCAGCTCCTGGGGTTTTCAGGACAGAGCATGAGAGGGGGAAAGAGAGAAGTCTGGAGACTATTCACTTTGCAAAGGTTCAATATATACATTAGCACATGTATGTGAGGAAAATACCACCAAAAGGGATTGAGAGAGTGCCCCCTGCATTCACACTGGCCTGCAAGCCTCATGATCACAGAGCAGCAGAGTCCTGCCTCAGTGAGAGAGAATAACTGATCTTAGGCTGAGCATCACTATGGTCTTGCCTAACAAATCAAAAGAGAAATTATAAACTACCTTGAACTGAATTAAAGTGAACAAGTGAACAGGCAACATATAAAAAATTTGAGATTCTTCTAAGCAGTATTTAGGGGAAAAATTTTTTTGTTTTGAGACAGAGTCTCACTTTATCGCCCTTGGTAGAGTGCTGTGGCATCACAGCTCACAGCAACCTCAAACTCTTGGACTTAAGAGATTCTCTTGCCTCAACCTCCCAAGTAGCTGGGACTACAGGCACCTGCCATAATGCCTGGCTATTTTTTGGTTGTAGTTGTCATTGCTGTTTAGCAAGCCCAGGATAGATTCCAACCTGCTAGGTCTGGCATATGTGGCTGGCACCCTAGTCCCTGAGTTACAGGTACCGAGCCTTAGGGGAAATTGTAACCCTAAACTCTCAAAATAGAAAAAAACCCAACAATCTTAAATCAGTGACCTCAGCTTCCACCTTAAGGAACTAGAATAAGAAGGACAAATGGGACCCAAAGTAAGCAGAAGAAAAGAAACGATAAAAACCAGTGCAGAAATCAATGAAATGGAAAACAGAGACACAACAGGGAAAACCAGTGAAACCAAATATTTAAGGGAGAAATAATGCCAGTTCTACGGATTATTCCAGAAAATCAAACATGAAAGAATACTTTGGAATTCATTCTCTGATACCAAAACCTGACAGAGACCTTACAATAAGAGAAAAGTACCTCAGGGGCAGGGCGTGGTGTCTCATACCTGTAATCCCCGCACTCTGGGAGGCCAAAGTGCATGGATGACTTGAGCTCAGGAGTTCAAGACCAGGCTGAACAAGAGCGAGACCTCATCTCTACCCAAAATAGAAAAACTAGCTGGGCATTATGGCAGGTGCCTGTAGTCCCAGCTACTTGAGAGGCTGAGGCAAGAGAATCTCTTAAGCTCATGAGTTTGAGGTTACTGTGAGCTGTGATGGCATAGCACTCTACCGAGGGCAACACACTTAAACTCTGTCTCAAAAGAAAAAGAAAACCAAATCATGGTAATTCACTGTGTTAACAAATTAAGAAGAATACTTCAGATCATCTCCATGGTCACAAAAATTTTTTTTGACAAAATCCAGCATCTATTCCTGATGAAAACTCACCAAAAATAGAAAGGAACTTCCTCAACTTGACAAAGCCATCTACGGAAACTACATCCAACATGATATTTAAGACTGAAGGTATGGACTGGCAGCTCTGAAAAGCCATCTTTGCATTGTTCCCAGCCTGGCTTCCTCCTCGCAATCTCCTCCGCCGCTGCGGACTCTGGCAGCTTTATCACCAGAGTCCCCGAACTCTCACTTTCTCTTCCATCCCCCGCATCGGATCACCGACGTGCCCCACCAGGTCAGACGCAGTGGTGGACACCAGCTCCAAGATCACCACCAGGGACTTACAGGAGAAGAAAGAAGCTGTGGACGAAGCAGAGAATGGAAAAGACGCCCCTGCTACTGGGAAGGCTAATGAGGAAAATGGGGAGCAGGAGGCTGACAATGAGGTAGATGAAGAAGAAGAAGGTGGGGAGGAAGAGAAGGAGAAGGAGGAAGAAGGTGATGAGAAAGCTGAGGCCACCACAGGCAAACTGGCAGAAGATGATGAGGATGTTGATACCAAGAAGCAGAAGACTGAGGAGGATGACTAAACAGCCAAAAAGGAAAAGTTAAATTAAAAAACAACAAAAAAAAGGCCACCGTGACCTATTCACCCTCCACTTCCTATCTCAGAATCTAAAGGTGGTCACCTTCAGTGGAGAGGCCCGCCCACCGCAGGCAGGGCTACCCGCAGGTGACCTGTATTCTTCACTACCCAACCCAAACCACAGGAATTTGCAACAGGGGAGGAAAAAAGAACCAAAATTTCCAAGGCCCTGCTTTTTTTCTTAAAAGTACTTTAAAAAGGAAATTTGTTTTTATTTTTTATTTAATTGTATATTTTTGTACTTATTGTTAGGGGTCAGCCATTTTTAATGATTTTGGATGACCAAAGCAGCCTTCAGAGCAGTCTCTGTCCCACTTTTGACTCTGACTTTACTTGTGGTGTGACCACGTTCATTTTAGTCTCAAAGGAGAAAAAAAACCTTGTAAAAAAAAAGAGCAAAAATAACAACAAAAAACAATCTTATTCTGAACATTCCAGTAACTTTTTTGGTGTATGTACTTAGCTGTACTATAAGTAGTTGGTTTGTAGGAGATGATTAAAAAGGCCAAAGATAAAAGGTTTCTTTTTTTCCTTTTCTTTTTTTTTTTTTTTTTTTTGTCGATGAAGTTGCTGTTTATTTATTTATTTTTTGGCCTGTTTGATGTATGTGTGAAACATGTCATCCAACAACAAACCGGAATTTTATTTTGCTGAGTTGTTCTAGAAAAAAAAAAAAGCTAAAGGAACAGATTTTTCAAGGATTGGGAACAAGACAAGGATCTCTATGCTTATTACTTCTTTTCAACATTGTACTAATGATCCTAGTCCATGTAATAAGGCAATAAAAAGAAATAAAAGGCTTTCTGTTTTAAAAGGAAGAAGTTGAAGATGAACTCTGACCTTGTCTTTGCTCAAAATTAACTTCCTAAGGGGTCTGAGAGGGTCAAGTCTAAAGACCATCAGTTTTGCTTAATAGTCCACCTCACCCGACTCAGCATCACAAAATGATTAGCAGACTCAGGAGTTCTAGACCAGCCTGAGCCAGACAGAGACCCGTCTCTACTAAAACCAGAAAAACTAAAGCAAGAGGATCTCTTGAGCCCAAGAGTTTGAGGGTGCTTAGAGCCATGATGACTCCACGGCACTCCACCCCAGGTGACAGAGTGAGACTCTGTCTCCAAAAAAAAAAAAAAAAATGTTGATGGAATCTACAAAAAAGGTACTAAAACTAATAAATAAGTTTAGCCAAGTTACAGGATGCAAGATCAATATACAAAAATCCACTTTGTCAGTAGTGCACATTGAAATATTTAAAATATAACAAAGCCCAATGGGTCAGGGATTAAAAAGCCAGGTAATTGGCAGGGGGGACTTTTTTTTTTTTTTTTTGAGACAGATCCTCAAGCTGTCCCCCTGGGTAGAGTGCTTGGCATCACAGCTCACAGCAATCTCCAACTCCTGGGATCAAGTGAGTCTCCTGCCTCAGCCTCCCAAGTAGCTGGGACCACAGGTGCCCACCACAACGCCCGGCTATTTTTTGGTTGCAGCCATCTTTGTTGTTTTGGTGGGCCTGGGCTGGATTGGAACCCACCACCTTAGTGTATGTGGCTGGCGCCTTAGCCGCTTGAACCACAGGCACCAAGCCAGCAGTGGGGGACTTTGTCTCCAAACCTGTATCTCCTCTCCTGGGAGGGTCGGCCACAGAGCTTGGTGTACAGTGACCTGAAGAGGAGTGACTGTGCTTTAGAATTCTTTCTTCATCTAAGTTGTCACTCATATGTGTGAGGGCAACAAAAAGACTACCCTCTTTATGTAAGAGATAAGAAATCTGCATCTTTTGCCCTTTTCTGGAAAAAAAGACAAAGACCTAGTCCAATTCTAGGCAACCAAGAAAAGGGTCAAAAAGAGAATATAAAAAAAGGCAAGGCTACAGAGCAGCAGGCTTCATGACGAGCATGGAACTGACAAGATACACAGAGCTAGTGAAAAGGGCCAGAAGGAAAAGTGGCTTATCATAAAATAAATTGTATAAAAACAAGAATAGGCTCTTGTCCCAAATTAAGCTAACAAAATGGGGAGGAGGGTATGCAGAAAGTCGAGGGAGAGAGGAGAATGTGCAGGTCAAGTGAGGCAGAAACACAAGAATTCTCTGGGGCACAAGTATGTGGAAATAACCATGATCCTAAAATTCATCACGAAGGCTTAGAAATTAATATATTTTGCCTTACTCAAAATAAGGCACACAATAGACACCCACAGAGTCTTACTGTAAGAAAGCCCAGCAAACGTGTCTCAAGGAGAAACAGAGACTCCAAGGGAAGAAGTGGGCTACGGAGAGGAATGCAATCATGGGAACTGGGGACGTGAGGCCGTGAGCCGAATCAGCACCGACAGAGGAGGGGGCTGGAAACAAACTGTGTTTAAAAATAAGCTGGGAGTTATGTTTCCGGCACTATGGTAGACCAGGTGAAAACAACTGATTATTCTGCAGAAAAAACATACAGATAAAAAACATTCCTTAAAAATTGTGAGAGCTGTGTAAGAGATTCTACACGGGGGCTTTGGAGTATGCTTTAACTTTCTCATTATGGTCTCAGCATAAATTTATACAATGTTTACAAAGACAATAACATGATTTTAAAAAGTCCACTGGGGTATCATTTACATTAGGGGGAAAAGTTTCTTAAGAGGAAACGGGGATTTCCACCACTGCTGGGTCACATAAGGTGGTGCAGCCACTCTGGAAAGCACTGCACTGTCCAACAAACAGAACTCCAAACTCCCACAAGCCCTCTCCCAGCCAGGAGCCAGGGTGCCCTTGTCCTTGTGCCAGGCCTGGACAGTGCTGCCTGGGCTCTGTGAGGAGATTTGGGAACTGCCAATAGACCCATGGCTCACCCTGCTTAGGAGGGGACCCTGGCTGCCCAGGGTGGCTCAGGGCACACCTGCCTTCCCAATGGACAAAGTGAACTGGAGGCTGGGTAGGCCTCAGAGCTGCGTGGGCCCAAGACTTGGAGGGCAGCACTTGAGTGTCCAGAACCTGAGCCAACCCCTACCCCAAGAGGCTGAATGTACTCACGGTTCATGTGGCTCCTGCAGGCAACGCCCTGGAGAGAGAATAGGGAGGGGTGAGCTCAGTGGGATGACCTCTTCTCCCATCTCTACCCAGCCATGGGTTGCACCCCCATTCTGTGCCAGCCCTGCCCCCACTCCCCAGTTGCCTTCAGCCCCTGGCTCCTGCTCAGCATGGGGTGGGGGGTGGCCTGGAAGAACCCAACAGGGCCAGCATATGGCTGGCAGTCAGTGAATGACCCTGGGGCCCCACCTCAGGCTGACCCCACACTCTTGTTCACTCACTCAGCAGATCTTGACCGAGCCTGTGCGAAGCCTGCCTAGTTCCAAACAGCTCTTGGTTTTTTCTTTTCTTTTTCTTTTCTTCCTTTCCTTTCTTTCCTTCCTTCCTTTCTTTTCTTTCTCCTTTCTTTCTTTCTCTCTTTCTTTCTTTCTTTCCTGACAGTGTCTCTATCACCCAGACTAGAGTACAGTGACATTATCATGCTCACTGCAGCCTCAAACTCCTAGCCCAAGCGATCCTCCCACCTCAGTCTACCAAAGTGCCTGGATTAAAGGCATGAGCACCTCACCTGTCCCTCAGTTTATTCTTATTCCCACTTCAACTCTTGCCTGCCTGAGGTAATGTCCAAAGAGGGGGACCAGGCATGAGGATGGAGGGACTTGGATTTGTGACCAGGCTCCAACTGGGCAGAAGGGTCTATGGGGAGTGGCTGCTCCTGGGCAACTGAGGGTGCAGGATACAGGGACCCAGCGTGACTAGGTGGGGCTGTGGCTACCTAGCTGAGCACTCTTGGAGCCAAGGAGGGTCCCTGGTGGGCCATAGGAATCTAGGCCTCCCCGTGTGGTCACAGCTCTGGGCACTGACCTCCTGGTGTCAGCACAGATTCCATGTGGCAACATCAGTCGCCCCATTCCTGGGAGAGAACTGACCTGCTCTGGACACAGGCAGCTCAGGCTGTTAAGGGGGAGATGGCAGATGGGGATCCTGGACCTCTGATCAGCCACGTAGAGACATGAGGAAATAGCGGACAGGTCCATCTCTATCCCTTGAGTCTCAGTCCTTCCTCTACTCCTCTTTCTAAATAAACTTTTAATTTTGGAATAATTTTAGATTTATAGAGAGTTTACCCTGTCTTCCCTAATGTTAATATCTTAGGCTGAAACTTCCATGTGGACTCATGCTGTTCCCACCAACGTCTGTCTTCTTTGCTGGATCCAGTCCTGGCCCCATGCTGCATGTAGTCTTCCTGTCCTGACCCATGGGACTTTCTAAGCACCCTAACACCTCCCCAGAGATTGCTGACATGTACCCCTTCTCAGAGTCATAGGAGCACAGACTGGATCAGGCCTCCTGGTCCTTGCAGCCCTGTGCTCAGCCCCCACTGAGGAGCAGGCCATCACTGACCTGATGTGGCCCAGGAGTTCTGACCAGCAGAAGAGGCTGAGCCCATCTTAGGTCCTCTGTCCATCTGGTCTGATTAGAGGCCAGGGTGGGAAGTGGGCAGGTCTGAGCAGCCCCCAACCCCACCTGCCCAATGGGAGGAGACCCTACCTGGCCCACAGAGGACGGGGCTTGGCCTGGGTAACAGAAGGGGGCAGTGGTGTGATTCCCTGGCCACCCTCACTCCCTCCCATCAGCCCCAGATGCCCAGCACAACCTGTGGAACCCTCTGCCTGCTGGACACCCACCAGCTTAGGGGAAAGAGCGAGCCCCTGGAGGGCAAGTGGAAGACAGAAGGGTGGGCTGGGTATGTGAAGGGCGGACACTGTCCAGCCCACTGGGCACCTAGAGCTGGGCACTCAGCACTGAAGCCCACACAGGTGGTGCTGTGGCCCCGTGGGTCTGGGGTGCAGGAGAGGCCTCCATGGGGTCCTTCAGTGCCCTGGGTCTCTTCTGCCCCTGGTACTCCCCCCGGGGACGCCGGAAGAGGGACTCGCAAAGGCCCCAGGCCAGAGAGTACCTTTGGGCAGGTGGGGACAGAGGAGCGGCTGCCCCTCCCCACCGGCGGGGATTTCTGTTGGGCTTCTTGGGGCTTCCCAGCGGCGGGGCGCAAGGGTAGAGTCTGTCGGGGTGGGGCACCCAAGGCGCTGGCCAGGGAATGGGGCAGCATCAACCAGAGCCCCGACCCCACGCCCCGGGCGGCGCCACCTGCCACCCACGACCGCCCCACAGGGGGATCCATGTTGCCCGCTGCCCCACCCACGCCTGCCCTCCTGCTCGTGCGCCAGGTAGGTCAGCACGTCCCGAGGTAGGTTCCTGGCTCAGGGCTACCTCCATCGGCTTGCCCCACCCCTTTGCCGAACGACCACCTCCTCCCAGGCTCCACCCCTCCCACTCGCCCTGACCCCCTCAGCGCAGCCCCGCCTCTCCCCCCTCCTTTGCCCTCCCCACTCCAGTGTCCTGGGCAGGACCAGAGGCAGCCCTCCATCCTTGGCAGGGGCAGCCCTGGGGGCCCTTTCCAGTAACTTCCTCCAGGCTCCCTTTCCCCTTCATCTTGGATCCCTCTCCTGCCCTCACTCTCTTTTCTCTGAGAGTTGAGGGCTCAGCCTCTAGCCCCTTGGTCCTCCTGTAGGCGCAGACCCTGTCACATATGCTGCGGGCACACATCTTCTTCTGAAGCTTCTCTCCAAACCCGCCTCCAGGTTCCCCAACTCATGAAACATCTCCATCAGGGTAGAAGGGCATGACACTCTGAGGTCTTACCTTCAGTCTCTGCCACCCAGGATCCTCAGTTCTGCCCCTCCCATTCTCTCATGTCCACTGCAGGGTGGGCCCAGGCCACCACCCTGCCCACCTGAACCTGCCATCTGCTCCACTTCCACTGGTTCCCCCTACCATTTAAAGGGAGCCTCTTCTAGTCTCCCCCTTCCTTGACCCTCACTCTTGCCCCCTAGCCCTGCACCCTGCCCTGAACCTGACTATTCCATCCACTCACTCAGTCCTTTGCCAGACACTCTTCCCAGGCCTGTGGAGCTGCCTGGGTGTCCCCTAAGTATCCCCAGGGTGGCCAAGCCATTGCCTCTGCAAGGCACATCTTACTCCTTGCTATCCCCCACACTGGAACAGTGCACACAGCAGGTGCTCAGTAAGCAGCCCCCAGCCCTGTGACACCTTCTGTGTTCTTTCCATGCCTGTGTCCCCACTGTGCCTGGGCCAGGCTTGGGCCCTGGGGGCTCCTGGGATGTGCCAGGTACAGTCTTGCAGCAGGTGCTGAAGGGCTTCTCTCATAAGGCTGAGTCACCCACCCTGAAGCAAGTCCCGGGTGCCATTCACAGCCTTGTGTCCTCCCCTGCGGCTCCCTCCAGACTAAGGATGGCTTCTTGCCAGCATTCCCTCAGCAGTGTCCACTCAAGCCCAAATGCCAACATGGAGCCCAGTACCCTGCAGGTGCAATACGCTTCCACAGACACCCAGAAGGGCTTGCAGGCTGCTCTTCTAGAGAGACGTCTGAGGTGGACAGCCCACAGGAGAGTTGGGAGCCAGCTCATCCTGCCCCAAGGGACTTTTACTTGCAGCCTCCTATGGCCACCCCTGCCTCAGCAATGCCCCCCACCCCATCCTCCATCTGTGTGGAGTGTCCAGCTGGTGCCCAGCTGTGGAGAAACCAGGGCCTCACCTGAGAACAGGAGAGGCCACATTCCGAGATGCGGGGGATGGCCAGGCCTCGGTAAGTGCCCCAGACCAGGCAGAGAAAGGCAAGTGCTGGCCCGGCTGGCATCTGGCTGTGGAGCAGAGGAGAGAGGAGTATCCAGACTGACTGCAGCTTCAGCCCCAGAGATAGACAAGAGAGAGCTGAGGAGTGGCTTCAGCTCCACAGCAAGGTACACTCCGCCTCCTGTGAGACATGGCCTAAGTGAACCGGCAGAGGGCAGCCCCCAGACGTGCCCACTCGCCAGGGCTTGAAGACTCCAGCCAGACCCCATGGAGTTCTAGGCTGCTATGAGAAGTGTCCTGAGCCCTTGAGGCCATAATGATCCCAGGTAAGAGGGCTCCCTGTGGGGCTGGCTGGTAGGACAGGGCTGGCTCTGGGCCTGTGGGGTAAGGAGCCACTTGTGTACGCCCCCATCTCTCAGGTATGTGTCCTGACAACGGGAGACAGTAGCCAATTGCCCTGTTGAGCCTGACTGGGCTCACAGAGAGGAGAGGAAATGTGGTGGGCACCTGCACCTGATGGCTTCACCCCAACCCCTGAGGGACAGCTCCTTCCTGGGACTTGAGGCTCCACCTCAAGTCCTCAGGGCTCCCTTCCCAGTCCTGCAGTGCCCATGGGTTAACGTGGGCCTAACTGCTGCTCAGGGAATCGTTCCGTGCTCCTTTTCTTACCTGAAGCTTCTCATGCAGCACTGTTTGCCTCCTGCCTCTGCCAGCTTCATGCAGGGCAGCAGGAAAGAGCCAGGTTGTGCTTGGGGGGTGCCTCAGATCCTCCCCTCCAGGACAGGCCCGGAGTCTCATGTCCAGTCCTCACCCCGCTGCAGCTGAGCAGTGCACGGGCTCCCTGCACCTGCCCACTTCCATGCCAGGGGGCAGGAAATGGGATGTCTGGCTGGAGAGCAAGGGCCCACGGGGTGTGCTGGGCCTGGGCAGGGAACCCCCACAGTGCATCCCAAGTGTTCAGGGCAGCATTACTCCTAGGTGGGGGAGGACATAGGCCTCGGAAGCATGTGGATGAGGCATCAGCCCCAGGGCATGAAACAAAGCAGGAACTCACTGCTTGCCCATGACTGTGGACCCATACTCCACCCCACCTAGATGCAGGAGCAGCTGCCCAGCCTCCCTCCCACCTGGGCCAGCACCTCCAGCCTGCCCCACCTGGTCTAGAGTGCTTTGGGGCTGGGATGCCTGTGGTCACTACTGGGCCCTGTGTACCCTACCCTGTCAGTGAGTAGTGTACTTATGGCCCCAGGGCCCTGGAGACCAAGCACCCAATGCCAGCCTCTACACCAAACAGTACAGCAGGCTGGGATGCCTGAGGGTGGCCCAGGAAGGCAGGCTCTGGCCCTCCCATGGTCCCAGGCTGGCCCAGGCCCTGAGATAGGCACCTCCACCTCACTCCACCAGCCTGAACTTGAGGCCTCTGGCAAGTGCCGCAAAAGTACCTTCCTATTGACAAATGGCAAATGGGGAGTGCTGTGTCTGTGGCAGAGATCTCCAAAATGATTTTCATGGGCATGGCCCACAGGAGTGGTGAGAACAGATGCCCAGTGGGCCCACTCACACTCTGAGCCCCTCTTTGTGGCCTTTCCAAATCAGGCCCACCTACCAGGTGACATACCTGTCACCTCAAATGTGCTATGCCAGTACCACAATGAAGTGGCCACAGGAACCACCCAGGGGAGAGGGGCTGGTGCTGGTCTCCGGCCCAGGGAAAGATGGTGGAGCTGGGCCCCTCACTCCTGCCCCTTGCCACCCTGTCTAGTCTGAGGCCAAGGGGGATCCTAGCTGTCTTTGAGGGCTGGAGGATTTGAACCCTCTCAATGTCCACAAAGACCTGGCCCTGGCCCTGGGGACTCCTTGGCAGCTCTCCTTGTCCTGTGCAGGCTCCAGCAACTGGGAGCACCCCAGCCTGAGCACAAGGAGGTCTTCAGGTATCTCTCCACGCTTGGGTCTCCCACATGGCCTACTGACCACCAAGGGGCCCAGAAGTCCGACTTCAATCGAATCCAAAGGGCACAACCTGGGGTGGACACCCACTCACTCCCACCACACAGCACCAGGTTGGAAGGAACCACATGGGTGCAGAGAACTGGAGCAGCACAGTGAGACTTTTGTTGAATAAATGAGTGAATAAATGATGAGTGACACAGAGGGGCACCTTACCCTGGGGAGGGACCGTCCTACACACCAGGTCTCATCCTCTCCCGTCCTGTGGCCAGGGCAGGGGTTGGGGGAATGCGGGGCATGGGGTTGGGCTGGGGTACATGGCATGCAGGCACCAAGAGAGGGCGGGGCTCGGTAAGAAATACCATGGTGAAGATTGCACAATTTCTCTAAAATAGCTCTGTATACAAGGTCCCTCATCTATGTGCAGGTCTCCAAACAAGCCAGGCCCGAAGGCCGCAGGGGCCTAGGCACGCCTCGTCCGGGTCCTCGTCCTTGTCCCACGCGGGTCCTCACGTCAGGGGGTCCACGGGCTGCTGCCCTGTCCGCTGCCAAGTGGCACGAAGGAGGCGCCGTGCAGGACCGCAACGCAGAAGGAGCGGCAGCGCTTGCAGGGCCCGACCAGTGGCAGCGAGCTGTGGCACACCAGGCACGGCGCTCGGCGGGGCCTCGGCAGCCCTGCGAAGAGAGGGGCCCTGAGACCGCGCCCTGGCTCCGCCCGCGCCCTTGGTCTAGCGCACTGCGGACCGCCCCCTCGGCCCAGCTGCCCACTCGGGCCGCGACCCCAGGCCCCACTGTCCTGCAGACCACCCCCGCTGCCCACCTGGGCCGTGCTTCCCGGCCCCTCTGTCCTCCAGATCACCCCCACTGCCCACCCGGGCGTGCCTCCAGCCCCCGAGATCACGTCCTCCACCCCCGCCTCCTATAAGACTGATCAAGATGGGGAGAAAGGCACAAATAATAAGTATTAGAGGTAAAAATACAGACATTGGCTCACATACCGCAGAGACTGCAAAGATTAAGAAGGGATGAAGGGTTGACTCCACATCCGCAGCTCAGCGCCACTTACCGCGCTAAGGGAATAGAGGAAGACCCCAAAGGACCATCTCAACAAATGCAGGGAAAACACTCCAAAAATTCATTGTCATTCATGATTAAAAACAAAACGTGAAAGATAACTCTTAGCAAATTAGGACAGCAGAGAAGGTCCTCCATCTGACAAGGTGTCTGTGGATCCCTGCCCACTTTCCACAGGAGGCCCTGGAAATTGCAGTGAGGCATGAGAGCACAAACCAGGAAGAGCACGGAGGAGGAAGGAACAGGGAGTCTATCTGCAGGTGAAGTGGTTATGTAGAAAATACCAAGGCATCTGCCAACTACCAGAACCAGGATTTGCCCACACTTTGGGACACAGTGTCAATGTGCAAAAACCATTGCACTTTCTATATTTTAGCCACAAACAACTGGAAAACAAAATTTCAAATACCATTTATAAAAGTATCAAAAAAATACCAAATGCCTAGGAATAAGTTGTTTTTTTTTTTTTTTTTTTGAGACAATCTCAAGCTGTTATCCTGGGTAGAGTGCTATGATCAGCATATCTCACAGCAACCTCCAACTCTTGGGTTCAAGTGATCCTCTTGCTCAAGCTAAGTCTCAAACTACTGAGCTCAAGTAATCCACCCACCTTGGCCTCCCAGAGTACTAGGATTACAAGTGTGAGCCACTGCACCTAACCTATAGGAATAAATTCAACAAAAATTATCTATGCAGGTTCAGCACCCATAGCTCAGTGAGTAGGGTGCCGGCCACATACCCTGAAGCTGGCGGGTTGGAGCTTAGCCCGGGCCTGCTAAACAACCATGACAATTGCACCCCAAAAGTAGATGGGCATTGTGGTGGGCACCTGTAGTCCCAGCTGCTTGGAAGGGTGAAGCAAGAGAATCGCTTGAGCCCAGGAGTTTGAGGTTGCTGTGAGCTGTGATACCTCTGCACTCTACCAAGGGCGATATAGTGAGACTCTGTCTCAAAAAAAAAAAAAAAATACTGAAAATAAAATACATTAAAAAAAAGAAATTTATCTATGCAGAAAACACTGCTTAGAGAAACTAAAAGATACATAATTGTTGACATACATCATCTGCAGACATTAGAAGCTTCAATGTCAATTCTCCCTACAATATTTATTTATTACTATTATTTTTTAAGACAGAATCTCACTATGTCACCCTCAGTAGAGTGCTGTGGAATCATAGCTCACAGCAACCTCAAACTCTTGGGCGTAAGTGATTCTCTTGCCTCAACCTCCCAAGTAGCTGGGACTACACGAGCCCACAACAACGCTCCACTATTTTTGTTGTTGTAGTTGTCATTATTTAATAGGCCCGGGCCAGGTTTGAACCTGCCAACCCCAGTATATGTGGCCAGCGCCCCAACCACTGAGCTACCTGCGCTGAGACTCCCTAAGATATTTATGTGATGCAATCCAAATAAAAATCCTACAAGGTTGGCTTTTTTTGGTAGAAATTGACAAACCTTATTTCAACACTATAATAATTAGGACTGTAGTACGGCATGAGTACAGGTAAACAGATTGGTGACAGTACAGGCAATCAGAATTGATTTGATAGAGTGTATTTCTGACACAGATGCCAAAGCAATTCAGTGGAAGGAAGGATGATCTTTTTGGTAATGGTGTTGGAACAACTGTACATCCACAGGAAAATGAAGTGGACCCTGACCTCTTCACACTAACTTAAAATATAGAGACAAACCTTTAAATCTAATGTTTTACTTGGGAAGCATGAATTGCAATTTGGGGCACACAAACAGACCAGGTGAGGTGGTCTTCAGTATGGTGGAAGAATAAAGAGAAAGTTGAGAGTTTGCTATCAACAGTAAGAGAAATGCTACATACGGTTTGGAAATAAATTTCACTGACACTAGTAAGGTCTTGGGGTGCTGTCAAGTTCTGATTGGCAAGTGACAGTGGCAAACCAGTTTTAGAACCATAGCAGGTAACTTCAGCAGCCATTGGTCTTAAGACTATAGTAGGCTGGGCTCAGCGCCTGTGGCTCAAGTGGCTAAGGCGCCAGCCACATACACCTAAGGTGGTGGGTTCGAATCCAGCCCGGGCCCACCAAACAACAATGATGGCTGCAACCAAAAAA